CAGAGAGACAGTCAGCTGCTCCATTGCTGTGCTGCGCTCAGAGAGACAGTCAGCTGCTCTACTGCTGTGCTGTGCTCAGAGAGACAGTCAGCTGCCCTACTGCTGTGCTGCGCTCAGAGAGACAGTCAGCTGTGCTGGGGAGCTCTGTGCCGGAGAGCTCTGTGCCGGAGAGCATTGAGCTGGAGAACTCTGTGCTGGAGAGCTCTGTGTTTGACAGCTCTGTGTTGAAGAGCTGTGTGCTGGAGAGCTCTGTATTGTTGAGCTCTGTGCTGGGGAGCTCTGTGTTGGAGAGCTCTGTGTTTTTGTGCTGTGTGCTGGAGAGCTGTATGCTGGAGAGCTCTGTTTTGGAGAGCTGTGTGCTGAAGAGCTCTGTGTTCTTGAGCTCTAAGCTGGGGGAGCTGTGTGCTGGGGAGCTCTGTGTTGTTGAGCTCTGTGCTGGATTGCTGTGTGCTGGGGAGCTATGTACTGGAGAGCTGTGTGCTTTTGAGCTCTGTGCCTGAGAGCTCTGTGTTGTTGAGCTCTATGTTTGGGGAGCTGTGTGCTGGAGAGCTCTGTGTTGGAGAGCTCTGTGCTGAAGAGCTCTGCTGGAAAGCTCCGTGTTGAAGAGCTGTGTGCCGGAGAGCTCTGTGTGCTGGAGAGCTCTGTGTTAAAGAGCTGTGTGCTGCACACCCAGGTCCCCACACTCAGCCCCGCCACATGAGACACACCCACCTCCTCCCACACTGATCCCCACCCAGGAGATACATCCCTCAGTCCACACCCAGCCCTGGCTGGCCAAGGGCTGAGGACATGACTGAGCCCCTCCCTTCAAGTAGCCACGGTGATGGTAGCTTCTACATGACAGACTAGCAGACTGGTTGCTGACCAAGTTCAAACATGATGTCCATCCATCTGTTTTTCTAACTTCTTCATCCAATTCAAGTTCAAGAGGGAGCTGGAGTCTATACCAGCAAGCGAGAGGCACAAGGCAGGGCACAGCCTGGCAGATACTCACACCAGGGCCAGTCCATCACAAGACACACACACTCACACCAGGGCCAGTTTTCCTTGAAGCTAAACCTACCAGCATGTCTCTGGACAGTGGGAGGAGACCCACACGAACACGGGAAGAACACGCAAACTCCCCACGGACAGCACCCCAAAATTGAACCCAGGGTCCCTGTTCTGCGAGGCAGCATTGTCCACCACCATGCCACCATGATGTCCACTGTCGGAGTCGCCCGCTGGAGTGAGAACAGCCACCCCAGGTGTGGAGCAGGACCGGCAGCGAGGGTGCCTGCAGAGCTGGGCAGAGCAGCCCTGTCCCTCGGTGAACAGCACACCCGTTGCCTGACTTCTTCATCTTGCTTTTCGTACCAGATTCCCGGCGGGAGAAGGACGTTTCTCTGCACGTACCAGTCCATGTGTGTATTTGTGTCTACAGTGGCGGTCAGGCTAAATATAGTTAAAAATATCGACACTCACACACAGATCTATCAGATAAGTCGCCTTGTGATTCTGTCGCCCGCGGTCAGCGCCTCTGGGAAGAATCGCAGAGTTGTGTCAAAGTGTTTCATCTCCAGCGTGAGTCTGGGGCTCGGAGACATGGCCTTGACAGAACTCCACCACAGGAAGGCCAGCTACACAGCCTGCTGCTCCGCTCACTGCTGCAGTGACTGTTCGTCAGGGGCCTTAGACAAAAGAAGTATAAACATGTCAGCCAACCGATTGATCAATCAGTTAATCAATCGATCAATTGAATTGAATAGCTTGTCTCTTTAAGAACGCATCCCTCCCCTCTTCCCCCCCTCCACGCCGTGCGCGCTCCCGACGCTATAACTAGCTCGCATGGAGGAGCGCGTGGTCACTGTCCCTCCTGTCGCGCACACAGCACTCTCGGCACGAGAAGGGGGACGCTCGCTCGAGGCCACAGGGACTGTGCAGCCCCACGCCACGCAGGGCGCCACCAGCGAGAAATCTCACCTTGACGCCCCAGGCAGCGGCGAGGGAAGAGTCCGGCTCTCAGCTCTCCCGACTCCATGGACCCCCGGCGCAGATGAGTTTTGGACGGTAACTTTTTTCCGTAGTGTCTGCGCGCAGCTCCTGACGAACCGGCCCTGGGATCCCCGTTCGGATTACTTTCCCGTCCAGATGTTAGTTCACGCCTACTCTGCCATGGTGAGTCCCGGTCCCGCCGGCCCGGTCCAGTTCCACACGGCTGCGGTTCTACCCGGGTTGCTGGCGCTTCGGCCGCCCGTGTCATTCGCTCCGATTCTCCCGGCCGGACGCCGGCGCTAGGAGGCTGTGAGCAGAGTCTCGGAATGAGCTTCGAGCTTCAGCACCAACATCTTGACCGGGGAGCGAGGACAGCAGCGGGGGCGCTGAGCGGCTCCGGGGCTCCGGCGGGGGGCGAAGCCCCCGTCAGCACAGCCGCGGACTCCAGCTGGAGACACGGCGGTGTCCGCGCTCCGGCGACCTAGTGCTCACAGACGTTTCCGAGTTCGACCTCTCCCCGTCGAGATGCTGGCACGGTACTGAGACCAGTGCTGTATCCGTGCGCACTGCCCGTGGGTCGCCAGGGCGCTGCGCTGTGCGATTCCAGCCCCTCTCAGCCTCCGCGCTGTTTCAGGGCTGGCGAGGTGACCCCGATTGTGTTTAACAGGCGAAGCTCGTTTGTCATATCAGCTGAAACAGTTTATTACAGCGGTCGGGCTCCAACCCCAGGTGTTTCCGAAGTGTTTCCACTGCACTGCGTGCGAATTGAAGTCTGGGAAGCTACACGCACTGGGGTGTCAAAAATCTCCCCGGGTTCGTGCAGCTGGACACCCCCCGAAGCTCTTATTGCCCCCGGACTCGGGTCTCAGCGCTGACTCCCGTCTCCCGCTCCGTCCCGTCCCGGTGTCCGGTCCACGGACAGCTCGCGCGCGCCGCACGGGCCCGTGGGCACCTTTGGCCCCTGGACCACTGTGGTCACTCAGGGTGACCGTGGAAAAAATACTCCAGCCGGGCCATCAGTCGCGTGCGACCCGAGTGGGAAACAGCCCCCCGCGCGCAGAAGGATCCCGAGACTCGATCTGCTCACAGAACAAACTGCTGTTTTATTCGAGTCCGGTCCAGAGCGTAACAATGTGAACGACTTTTATTTACCGCTGAGACCTTTTATATAACAAACTGGCACACGGTAATATGTGCAAAATTAAAACAGTTTTGTGAAACACGCTTTCTTTTTCAATGTTAACAAAACGTCAATGTGACATAAAACACTGAATGAAATTCACGGTTGAAATGCAGAAGCCAATGTGAATGTCACGGTCTGTAGCGATTAGTCTGTAGTCTCCCGGTGTGTCATGCCGGCCCGCCCGGCTCCCGGGGTGTCTCCCGGGGTGTCTCACGGTGTGTCTCCCGGTTCGCAGGAGCGCACGGACGGACTGAGCGGCCCCTCCCCGGGCGGGCGCCTGTCGCAGCTCTCCTCCCTGAACCAGGCAGCCTACTCGACGGCCCCGCCGCTCTGCCACACCCCGGCCTCCGACTTCCAGCCGCCCTACTTCCCGCCGCCGTACCCGCAGCCACCGCTGTCCTACCCCCAGGGCCAGGAGCCGGGCTACCCGCACCTCCCGGACCCCTACGCCTCCATCAACCCCCTGCACCAGCAGCCGGCCTGGCACTCGCAGCGGCCGCGGCCGGAGGACGCCGGGCTGCTGCCCCAGGCACACCGGGCGCTGGGGCTGGACCCCCGCAGGGAGTACCCCGGGGTGCCGCGCCTGCTGCACGGGCTCGGGGAGGGGGAGGTCCCGCTGGGGCTGCACGGGGTGAACCAGCACGGGCTGGAGGACATCCAGGTGAGTCCGGCTCTTCCCCGGTTCTGGTTCCGTCCTGCAGCGGGCAATGTTTGTCAGTGCCAGGGCAGGGCGGGTATTCAAAGGAACGATGAACGAGCTGGCGGGCTATCCCAGTCACCGACAGACTGGTTGATCTTGACCCGAGTCCTCTCGGGACAGATCCCACAGATCCTTGAACACATTCCCGGGGTATCAACCCGACAGAAGCTCGACCGCGGCTTCAAAACACGACTATTTCAACGTTTTACGTTTTACTAACAATAGAGGCACATTTAATGTAAATAAAGGCTTTATGTTCATTTAAACTGTGTTTAGTGTTTAAACTTAAACACAACCACATCCAATTCAAAACGTAAATTATTTCTGCTATAGAACTATGAGGATCTCTGTTCTTCACCAAACGCAGAGAGACGTGCAGGCTGGACCGAGCCCAGCCTGTCTGATTCTCAAACACACGCCGTGATTTAATGGCAGAAACGACTGATAGCGCTTGAAATGATATTACAGTGTAAAATAACGTTATTATGAAGAATAGAAAAACGAAATCTTGTGTTAGTTTCCGACGTCAGCAGTGGAGTTTTTGGAAAGCGGGTCGCTTTCCCAGCCGCGGGTTACACTTGGCGTGAAATGTTTCGCGTCTCAGCTGACCCGCACTTGCTGGGCTGTACGGGTCCACGCTGAGGGAACACGCATGGCGAGTTCTCCCACGGCCACGGTGACGGGTTCACGCCTGCCCACATTGATCTCGCCGTCCCAATGGCTCGGCGACTGCCAACGGTTTTTAATCCCGCTCAAAGACCTTTTAGACTTTTGATTTAGCTTGCCTCCTGGTTCCGCTGCGTCAATGTACTGTGCATGTATCTGTTTACTCCTGCTACGCGCTTCACACTTGGGTTATTGTGGCGCTTTGTTTTGAAAAGCGTTTGTAAATTACATCCCTCATCGCCATTGCAACCCGGTCTTCGGCTCCTGTTGGCGGTTCATGTCAGAATTAGTTCTGACCGGCTTCCCAGCTCGCGGTTAAATTACTGGCAAAAGAGCTGCAGTTTGACGCGGAAGGTCAGCGCAGGATTTTAACTGCACGTCAGGACGATCGGAGCCAAACTAAATTTCCTCGCCTTCGATATTAAAACGCGTTTCTTGTTTTATAATAAAAGGTTACAATAATTATTTTCATAAAAATATTTTTACTTTTTTCCAAAGTTGTTTCAATTTGTTTCTGTTGAAATTCGATGATTAGAAAACAATACAATCTTCTCAATTAACAAATATAGGTATAAATTATATTTTAAAATATCACAAAAGGATAGAGTTAAAAGCACAGATTTTTGATGTATGGAGTGCAGTCAGAGCAGTTGTCACCTTCACTTGAAGTCGTGGATTAAAATCAGATCTAAATTCGTTTAAATGTGGTTAAAAACACCGAACGGCAAACGTCCGCGAATCCTGCTTGGCGTCATTTCGTTTATGTTGTTTTTTAACTACACTTTACGCGCTGGTATTTTTAAAAGAGGAAATGTCCTGGAGGGTATTTTAATTTCAGCACCAGCTCGGGCCTCTCTCTTGGACTTCTCTAAATTCAGTTCATTCGAGTCGATATTTTTATACTTTGCCAGCCTGATTAACGCTGCTGTACGCATCCCGGTCGAACAAAAATAAATGAAGTAAAAATATTATTTTATTTGAAAATGTCTAACGCACATCTAACATTTAATACCAACCCAGTGGACACTGTCCCAGCGAGACACCGGCAGGAAGCCACAGCATTGTAGCGGCATGAGACCCGAAATGTGTTTTATGAATTGTCTCTGTTCCAGACGTCGTTTCTAACGTGTAGAAAAGCAGTTCAGAAACGGGCGACAAGACAGCTCGGGTGGATTCAGATGCGCAATATCCGATACCCGTGTTCATTAATCGCTCAAGTGCTACGCTCTCAGTTTTGCGATGGAAAGACGGGATTTATTCAGTTATTCTATGTAGCCCGCGTTATTATTTAAATAATAATAATAATAATAATAATAATAATATATTAGATATAATATAATTAATAATGTTTAATAAGTTCAATTAACGGAATAGCGTTAATATAATAAATCTATTTGAATTCAGAGTAATTTAGAGCCAGTTAAAATCGATGAGCGCTGCTGAAATGTTCCCTTCGGTTTGCACGGCGACCGCTGATCTCGCGCCAGCGGCGTGCGAGGGGCGCGCGGACCGGCCCGTGGCCCGCCGGTGACCCGCGTGACCCGGCGATCTGTGCTCGTGCCCGCCAGCCTCCGCTCGGAGCGAGAAATTGTTCTATCTGATGACGACTCTTGCTACGCAGCACGGAGGAGGGACACCCCACAGCTTTGTAAAGAGATGGTTAAATATACATTTGATTTTATGTTGTCATTTTCTGTCAGGGGAACATGTCTTCACTCTCTCATCGCCTGCTTTGCCTTAGGACACACGAGCTCTCACACACCAGGACACGCACAGCCTCTCGCACTCAGATGCGCGCACACACATTGACACTGATCAGCGCTCGGCGCAGCGGACCCTGCGAGCCAGACTGCGGCGCAGCTCTGAACCAGGGAGCAGGCGGCTCTGACGCAGAAGCGCTCGGCCTGCGGGCTCGACACTCACATGCTGAGACACAGGCAGACCGCTGCCGCCCCTCGGCCCTGCCCTGCACACAGCGCGGTGTGTTCACTCTCCCTGCTGCCGGGGAGTCAGGACACGTCTCTGTCTCTCAGTTTGAACCCTGAACGCTCTTCTCCCACATCCCTCTCTGCTCGAACCCTGAACACTGTTCCTCCACACCTCTCTCAGCTCAAACCCTGAACACTGTTCCTCCCCACCTCTTTCAGCTCGAACTCTTAACACTCCTCTCCAAAATCCCTCTCTCAGCTCGAACCCTGAACACTCCTCTCCCACAACCTACACTTTGCTCCACATCAGTGTCTCTGAGTTCGAACCCCGTGCTGTACACCTCCTGGTCTTTCTGAGCTTCACATACACAGGAGCAGGGATCAGTAATCACTCTGCAACTTGCAAAAGCAAACTGGTTGATCAATCAACCAATCTGCAGACAGACAGAAATGACTTGGAAAGGAAAACGTCAGGGTGTCGATCAGGCGGTGACTGTGCTCTGTGTACAGTATCAACGGCCATGTCAGCTGGCTATGATCATGAGCATTATTAGTAATAATATTATTAGTATTATAATAACAGTGTTCTAACTCTTATTAATGCCATTGTGTTGTCACAGGGGGCAGAGGAGAGCTCAGCGCTGGGGTTACTGGATCACTCTGTCATCAAGAAAGGTGAGAGTCTCTCCAGTACCTTCTCCTCTCTCCTCTCACCAGTCTCTTCTCCTCTCTCC